GGGGGGGGGGGGGGGGGGGGGGGGGGGGGGGGGTGCGGCTATGCTGGCCCATATAGGGGCTGAGGGCTGAGAGCTCCAGGGAGGAATTCGTCAGACCCATCCACAGCTACACAAAACGCCCGCTTTGTCAGCCTTTTTAAGGCTGTTTCGGGATGTAGGGCCACAAGCCCTCTTCCACCCCCAGCTCCTGGACCTCTCCCTCAAGACATGGGGGTTTCGGAAAATAGGGGTCCTAGGGGATTCCATTCTATTTGGGGTCTAAGAGGTGTGCCCCTATTTGAGGAAATGCCTGAGGCCAAAACCCTCTAAAACCCCGTCGTCGTGCTCTCAGGGAACCTCTTCCTGGCCATACTTCCTTCAGCAGCCGGGACCCTGCCTGAGCTTGTGTGGTCATTCTTTTCTTTCCATTTAGGTTACAAAAAGTTCGCCTTGTAATTGAGGAAGGGGCGCTTTCCGGGGCAGATCGCGGCCACGCATGGGTTTCTGGCTTCTAGGGCTTAAGGGGGTAAGGGTACGCACCATGATGCCCCTGCGTTAAGGGTTCCACCCGAAGCCCACGGCCCTAAATTCCAAACCCTAAACTTAGAACCCTAAACCCGAAGCCCCAAATACGACGAGCGGAGGTGGGGGGATCGGGTGATCGGGTTTATGGTAGGGCTGTAGGTTTTGTCTGGCTTCGAAATGCAGGGGCTGGGGCTCTTGAATCCTACACTCAACGCCACCCCCAAGAGGAACCCTAAACCCTGAACCCCAAACCCTAAACCCTAATCCTGAACTCTCAAAGCCACCCACACTCGGGACCAAGAGAACCTGTCGAAGCATTGTGGGCCTGCCACAAGACCTGAGAGCCCCTGTCTGAGAATTCTACTATAGGGGCCTAAATAGTTGGAACAGGGCTTGGGGGCCATATCTATACTTATAAAGGAACCATAAGGGAAGGTGACTCGGAATTATTCCGACCCCTATGTTAGTCAGTTTGGGTGGGCTTGCTCTGCATGATGGAGGAAGTCTGAATGGTTGCTGAAGATTGAGGGTTTAGGGTTTAGGGTTTAGGGTTTAGGGTTTAAGGCAGCTTTCTCGGGTTATCGGGCTTCGGGGTGGGCTTTAGGAGTTCGCTTTGCGAGTTTGGACCACGGTTCAGTTCTCACCTCAGCGTCCTAAACCCTAACCCCTAACCCCTAAACCCTAACCCCTAAACCCTAACCCCTAAACCCTAAACCCTAAACCCTAAACCCTCTACCCTCTACCCTCTAAACCCTAAACCCTACAAACCCTATAAACCCTATAAACCCTACAAACCCTAAACCCTAAACCCTAAACCCTATAAACCCTAAACCCGAAACCCTAAACCCTAAACCCGACATTCTTCAGGTCCTGTCCGGCTCAGTGGCTGGCCTTTGAGGGACACTGCTACCGAGCCTATGAGGGACCCGCCGACTGGGACCAGGTGGGAGCTTTAGGGTTTAGGGTTTAGGGTTTAGGGGGCGTTCAGCGTTCGGGAGACCTAAGGTTTCGGCTTGCGAGGATTGGGGTTTAGGGGTTGCGGAGGGGGGGATGAGGGAGTCGGGGGAAATCAGCGCCCAGCCGGTCTAAAGCCTATACCCTGAGCCCTGAACCCCTGTACCCTTAGAAGCGCTGTCGCCTCGTGTAAGCCCGGCCAGCCCCATGTACCCGATAACCCCCTGTACGCTCTGCAAACCCGATTGTGAGCCCCAAAAATCCCTGCACGCCCTCTGCACCAAGCCCTGTGAGACACCGTCCAGCCCCACAATTTTCAGAAAGACCCGTAGACCTGAACTGCCCTTAGTGGAGGCTCCAAAGTTGTGCGTACCCTACTGGTTCTTAGTAGGGAATGAGGGGAATGAGGTACCCTATACATAGGCCCGTAGAGGGTGCGCTGTAGGGGGACCTAGTTCCCTCATTCCCTACTTAAGGCCAGGATCTGTGTGGATCCCGCAGCCCAATTGCAAAGTTCAATTGTTTCAAGGTTCTGGGGAGGCAATCCGCCCTTTGGGGAGGATTTGGGGAGGTTGTTGTTTCAATGGCCAGCAGTGATACAGTAGGAGCCTTCCCGTGTGCCGACTGTCACCTGAGCATCTCAGCAGCTTGAAGAAGCTCCCCGGACGTAGATCTCCATTGCTAGGTCTCTTTGCCATGGGGTGTGGTGGGAGCTGTAGCCATACCGTGGAGCCAGCCGGTGTTGCCTCGGTTTTCTACGTGCCGGAGAGCTTTCCAAAGCCTCCCAACAAAAACCTCGAGCCAAACAGCTCCACCCACCGGCTCTACGTTCGGCAGCTGAACAACTACCTCATCAATGTCGCCAAGAGTCCGTACGCCTTCCAGGTGCAGGTGGCGAGGGGCCGCCAGGCACGCTTTGGGGAGGCATGGGCTGAGGGCAGCATGCCGGATATGTTAGTGCAACCTGGAGATCCTTGTTGCGATGGCAAGTGGCTTGGCGTTGGCCCGTGACTGACTTGCCCGACTTGCGGACATGCATAATTTGCTTCCATTCTTGCGTGTTGCTGCCATCCCATGGCTGAGCCATCTGGGGCAGCCATTCCGGTCCAAAGGGAATCCAGTTCCCTCGCACTCAATACAACTCTTCACAGTATTTCCACGTCTTTCCTTGCAGCGTCGCCATGCATGTGCCAACTCAAGACCCTAAGCATCCTAAAGCTTATGGGTTTACAGGGTTTATAGGGTTTGTAGGTCTTATTCAAGTCCTAAACTCTATTGTAAGACGGCTTTGCGTTGGCCCCTAGCTGGTCCGACCTGCGGAAATGCACGATTTGCTTCCATTGTTGCCTTTTTCTCTGCCATCCAGCCATCTGTGGCAGTAGCGCCCGTCCATGTCGAGGTCTAACAGTTTCAGCCTGTTCTGGCCCGCATGTTATCAGGCAGACTCCGCTTGGCTGCTACCTGGACATTCATCGACGTTGGGTTTGCTGGTGTCGTATCAGCCAAGGGGGCTCCGTTTCCCTCGCGTTCAGTACAACTCTTCATAGTATCTCCAGCTCCTTGCTTGCAGCATCGGAAAAAATATGGTCACCCCACCGCTGCGATGCATGAGCTGTGCCATCTCGAGACTCTGAAGTTCTTTCCAAAGCTTATGGGTTTATAGGGTTTGTCGGAGACCTGGGACTTTTAGGGTATACAGGGTTTAAGGGGCTTTTCGGGGCGCATACACGCCCAAACTCTACTGTAAGACGGCGCGGTGAAAGGAGCTCATTTGAGGTGGTTTGGTGGCGGGGTTTAGGGTTTAGGGTTAGCCTCTAAACCCTAAACATCGAGATTCTTTCATGGATTTGGGGAGGTTGCTGCTTCAATGGCCGGTGTGCCGACTATCATCTGAGTATCTCAGCAGGCTCAGAGAAGCTCCCTTGAGGATCCGGTACTTCGGGGACTCCACAGATTTCCATAGCTAGGCCGTTTAGGGTTTAGGGTTTAGGGTTTAGGGTTTAGGGTTTAGGGTTTAGGGTTTAGGGTGTCGTTCCTTTTGCCCAACGCCCTGACCCTGCGCATCTAAAAACGCTAGCGGCCAGGTCTGCTGTCTTGGGGTTGGCCCTGGGATTCGAACCCTAAACCCTAACCCCGAAACCCCAAACTCCAACACAACCCCCAAACCCTAACCCCCCAAAGCCCCAAAACCCCAAAACCCCTAATTCCCGAAGCCCCTAGACCCCTAAAACCCTAAACCCTAAACCCTAAACCCTAAACCCTAAACCCTAAACCCTAAACCCTAAACCCTAAACCCTAAACCCTAAACCCTAAACCCTAAGCCTTCCGAGACTTTGCCAGGCAAGGGCTGCTTGCGAGAGCTACGGCGCGGCGCTGGCGTCGATCCACAGTCAGGCCGAATTGGGAGTTTACGAAACCAGGGTTTAGGGTTTAGGGTTTTGGGTTTTGTGTTTTGGGTTTTAGGTTGAGGGTTACCCCCACATATAGGTCCCCAAATAGTCTTTCCTTAAAATAGGGACCCAAATAAGGTACCCCCCCTACTGTCGGAAACGCCGAATTGAGTGCTTTTTAGGGCTTAGGGTTTAGGGTTTAGGGTTTGGGGTTTGAAGGGATTATCGCTTTGGCGGGGTTCAAGGGTTGAAGCAACAAAACCTTCAACCCTATAGGGTTTAGGGTTTAGGGTTTAGGGTTTACGGTTTAGGTAGGTTTCAAGGTCAAACTTTTGCAGCAATGTTTGGCAAGGTTGAGCCATGAGATCAGAGTAGCATCGCCGGATTGGGGGCTGTTGCACACCAGGCCAGTGCCCCACAGTTCCGTCCCGAAACCCCTCAAATGTCTGTTAGCCCTAAAAAGTCCAGGGTTTGGGGTTTAGGGTTACAAGGTTATGTTGGTGAGGTTTTTAACGTTGATATTAGGGGTGTAGGGGCTACGTGTTAATTTGTTTCTTAGGAGGCTTTTACGAGATTTTCTATGACCTCCCTACAACTTAAATCCTAAACGCTCCCTCCTCCCCCTCACCCTCCCCCGGCCCCCACCCCCTCCCCCGACACCAGGCCCCTGGAACAGACTGACAGGCAGAGAACGATCACTGCCTTTTCGCTTGCGGCAATGTGAGGCACTCCTTTCTTATGGAGGGTGGCTCCGGCAACAAAATTTCGGGTCTAGGGGAGTTTCGGGTGTAAGGGCTTAACCCCAAAAACCAAAACCTTGTTGGTGTTAGGGCCCAGAATTTTTGGGGCTTGGTTGTTAAAGAAGGGCTTAGGGAGCTGAAGATGTGTCTGACACTGCACGTGTCGAGTTAGCATTCAGAAAAAATTCGGATTTAGCGTTTAGGGTTTTGGATTTAGGGAGCACTGCCTCTTTTTTGATACTGTTCACGTCCTGGGGAACTCACCTGGCTTCAGGCCGTTTTGTTCAGAGAGCTCAGTGACGAAGCATTTGTCAGCTGACGAGTGACTATGCTTCGAACTGCTCTACTACTATTTGATGAAGAACCCCCAAAAAACGAAAAAACAAATAATCCCCTTATTGCCCTTATAGGGAAGAACTTTATTTTTAGGGTTCTTCAGCAAGCAGTAGTTTAAGCAGCAGTCGTTATACTTTGGGTGTGCGTGCAATGCACGCGCTCGCAGGTGCCCACCCCGAACTCCAACTTGACCTAAAAATCCAAGCCCACGCTCTCAAACTGTGCAAGCAAATGCAATAAGTACGACGGCTTGGGAAAAAAAGACAGTACAGGTTTGGGGGTGCAGGGCTTGTGTTTAAGGTTCAGGGCTTTGCGTCTAGGATTTGAGCAGGCGGGCTCGATTTCAATCGCTTCCAGGCCATTCCACCAAGGATGCTGGATAGGTGGGGCCTGCTTCAAGGGTTTAGGGTTTAGGGTTTAGGGTTTAGGGTTTAGGGTTCGTACACGTCATGCCTAACTCCGAAATCCCCAACAGCCTGGACCCTTGATTCCTAAACCCCTACACCCCCTCAACCCAAAACCAGCAAATTCGACCTCAAACCCTGCACCGCAAGCCGATGTAGCTGGGGTTCAGGGTTTAGGGTTTGGGGGTTAGGGTTTAGGGTTTAGGGTTTAGGGTTTAGGGTTTAGGGTTTAGGGTTTAGGGCTTCTGGGCTCGGAGCAGGATAGACGCTTGCATGGCACTTCGGTGTGTAGCGTTGAAGGTTGAAGAACACTGAAAGGTTGAGTTTGCGGTTTAGGGTGTAGTATAGGGGTCAGAACAATTCCTAGTCATATTCCCTTATGGTCCCTTCGTAATTTAAGAGCCTCCGGCTCAAGCCGCCGACCCCGCTGGAGCATAGTTGAAAGGTTTAAACGCGTTGGTTAGGTGACAGGATGCCAAGTTGGTGGGGGGGGGGTAGGGGGGTAGGGGGGGGGGGTGGGGGGAGATTAACCCCCCCGCTTTACAATACAACCAGAATCCCCACTTTACAACCACAGGCACTGTTTCCGGCGTGAGAATCCCCACTTTACAACTGCCGATCCTGACAACGCCCACTTTGCAACCCGTCTACCTATGATTAAGACCTATTGGGATTTCATGAGTTTTTACAACAAACCTACCTAGATTCCATATAGTTTGGTTCCTCGAGACTCCCTCAAGTGTCTAACATATGGGGCCTTCACCCGACGCAGGTTGTCGTGGCTTGGTTTAGGTAGGTCTGTGTTTGAAAAGGAACGCACCCCATTGTGTTTATTGTTATCTTTGTGTCTCGTCTTTCCCCGAATGTTAAAAAGCGTTTCTTTTTCACAATTTTGTTTTTGGGGCTGATTTAGGAATTGGTTATGTTTTAATGCGCTTCGCACTCCTAGCCTTGCCTGTGGTGGGTTGGTGGGTTGGGGTTCAAAAAATCATTTTTTCTGTATGCTTTCCCCGATGCAAACACACAAGAACGGAAAGTCATTATTTGAAAGTACTTGTATGGCCCAAAACCATAAGTGCAACATCAAATTAAAATGACTCAAACAACGTCCACGCTGGTGAGAAAAAAGCGTCCGTCCGCCAAGCGAGGTGCTGTGGAGTGCGAGGGTAGGAATTTGGTTGCATTTTAATGTCTTTTGCACTCCCAGATTTGCCTGTGGTGGGTTGGTGGTTTGGGTTTCTAAAAAGCTTTTTTGTGTGCTTTCCCTAAAACAAACACACAAGAACGGAAACTTTTTCTTGAAAGTACTTGTATGGCCTAAAACCATAAATACAACATCAAATGCAATAAAATTTGGGGTTCATGTATTGGCTTTCATGTGTATATACACACACATATCTGTCGTGGATTCGGGTTAAGAACGCCCACATTGCAACCGGCATCACTTTCCAACCTGCATGGCTGCCGTAAGGGATGATGATTCTAAGCGTTGACGTTATCAGTTAATTGGGTTGTTAAGAAGCTTTCGCAACCGGTTGCAAAGTAGGGATTCTGGAAAGGCTTCTGGGTTGTAAAGTAGGGATTCTGGTTGTAAAGTGGGGATTCTGGTTGTAAAGCGGGGTACACGCGGGGTGGGGGGGGGGGGGTAGGGGGGGGGGGTAGGGGGGGTTAGGGGGGCGGGCCCCTATGTCCTGTGCGAAACCGCCTATGGTCCGTGAGTTTATGCCGTGTGGGTGGCCTGGCCCTCCATGGAAAAGCTGCCTGGGGACCCCCCCCTGCCCCCCCCCCCCTTCGCGTTTTGGGGGGGTAAGGAGGGAAAGAGGGAGGTTTTCACCTCCTTTTCCCATCCAACACGCCGCCAGGGTCGGCGGATTATACACTACAGGAATAATCCCCTCCAAAAAAACCCTATGCTAAATATTCAGGCTCCTTTTGTAGGGTGTAGCGTTGAGGGCTTGGTTCATTGTCAAGCTTCTGCGCGTAGCCAGACTGTACCCCTGCACAGCGGTTTAGGGTTTAGAGTTTAGGGTTTGGGGTTTGGTTTAGGGTTTAGGCTGACTTTGAAGATGTGCCGGCGTCAGTCGCCTGAACCTTGCAATCGTTCCCATTCATGGGAGGGTTCCTTTGGTCTGCTTCTCAGGGCTGTACAGTATATCAGCATTGTACTGTTCATATCTTCGCTAATTCTGTCTATCTTTGCAGGATTTAGAACTTACCACTTCCCATAGAACTTTATTCTTAGATTATATCATCTTGTGCTTGGCTTAACGTGTAGTTTGCATCTTGGGCCTAGAGATTTACAGAAACCCAGAAGACCCCCCGCCCCCTCCCCCCCCAAGACTCCCCGGGCTTCAGGTGGGACGGATCGGCATCCGAGCAAGCGCAACGTTTGGATCTGGGTCGTGGCCTCGCCATGGGTTTGGGGTGGAGGGTGGAGGGTTGATTTGGGCCTTAACCCTAAACCCCAAGCCCTAAACCCTTACCCCTATACCCGAAGCCCTACACCCTGAGCCCTAAAGTAGGGTTTGGTCGGTAGAGCTAAGCCCTTAAGGATTCGTTGGGCGCAGGCAAGTATGTCTAGTTTCGAGCTTGGTGCGTCGGTGGTCGGGTGGGGCATGCTCTGAGCCAAGGCCTTGCCTGCTCTGTGTTGGGGAGACTACCAAAAAGGCTACGCCCCTAAACCCTGAACCCCAAACCCTAAACCCTAAACCCTAAACCCTAAACCCTAAACCCTAAACCCTAAACCCTAAACCCTAAACCCTAAACCCTAAACCCCAAACCCCAAAACCGAAACCCGAAACCCGAAACCCTAGACCCTAAACCCTAAACCATCAACGCAGATACTCCTCCCAGCTGCCCCCACACACCCCTTCAGGGGCTTGGGGAATAATTTCTACTTTTGGGTACGTACTGCAATTGTTAAGAAATAGCGAAAATCACAGCTTTTTTCACTTTGTGCTAGGACTCCAAGTTCAGTAGAGCCCTACCCACCCACCGACCCAAGCTCTGTGCATTTTCGCAGGGTGCGGGATCCTAAACCCGGGGAAGTCTTCAGCTCTGTAGGGGGTTCAAGGGGGGTATGTAACCCAAGGCTCCCTAATACTACGACTCCCTAAGGCCCCCTAGGCTTCCCTAACGTTCCCTACATACCTGCCGGCCATGAACCCCCGGGTTTAGGGTTTAGGGTTTAGGGTTTAGGGTTTAGGGTTTAATTACACCACCCCAAACACTGGGCCCTAAGCCCTAAGCCTTCAACCCCGGCCCAACCTCTCAGGTCGACGGCAGCCCCTTCGACTGGAGCAAGTGGTTTGACCACGGTGGCGGGCGGGCTCCCCAGCTCAGCACCCCTGGCTTCTTTGGGTTTTTTGGGGTTTAGGGTCCAGCGCTCGTTCAGTTTAGCTAAGGTTTGGGAAATGCAAAACGGAAACTTAGCTTCCCCCCTCGGACGTAGCACCAAAAATGGCTTTTTTTTTGGGGGGGGTTTGCGTGGGCTAAGCATTTGTTTAAACCAGCACTCCAGCATGTGTTGAGATGCACTGAAAAGGAATCTCGACAATGTAAAATGCCCCAAAGTGATCCTAGGTAGGATAGGGGGGCCCTTAAAAGGGAACCCCTTCTTAACCCTCTTCTGGCTCTCTTAAGCAGGGACCCTATTCAGAGGGTCTATATCCCCAAGGGTCCCCCTAATCCTATCCCCTAAGTGAAGGGCTTGCACATCGTGCTTGTTGCGTAGGGCTTGACCGCTAAACCGCAAGCCACCAAGTCCCTGAGTCAGGTAAAACCTAGACCCCCAAAGCCCTAAACTCCCTAAACTCCCTAAACCCTAAACCCTAAACTCCCTAAACCCTAAACCCTAAACCCTAAACCCTAAACCCTCAACTCCCTAAACCCAGAGCCCTAAAGAACCGCCAGAGCCCGTCCTGGCCTTCAGGAATAAGGAGCCCAACAACGACTTCTGCACGGACCACCGGCACTGTGGGCGGCCTAATGTGGCAACCCCAAGCCCTGAACAAGCCCTGAACAAGCCCTGAACCCTCAACCCCAAGCCCTGCGCGGTGTTCTGCATGAGCTTTGGGGGTCCTTCTTACAAGGGAGATTCCGATAATCAGAGGGACTTTAGTGTCGAACAGAGCGCACGTGCAGGTTGCAGTTTCGGTTTAAGCGATGCTTACAGGGCTTAGGGCTGGGGAATTCCATTCGTTCCATCCTCTCCCTTGAAAGGGAGGGTAATATAGGGTCGGAATAATTACGAATAGTATTCCCTGATGGTCCCTTTGTAATTATATATTCAGGCCCCGATCGTACCTAGAGATGCAGGGGATTCGGCAGTGCAAGGGCCACCCCAGGGCCTAAAGGCAGGACCCTTATGAAGGACCTCAGGGGTTATTTGAGGGTTATGTAGGGGCTACTTAGGTATATAGGGACTACATAAGGTAAATAGGGGTTATATGGGGGATTAAGGTCCCTTTTTGAGGGGGGCCTGCCTGCTACCCCTTAAGCCATGCCCCGAGCACCCCAAGAGCTTTTTTCAGTCGCAGTTGCCTTGGCCCCGAGGCAGGTACGGCCACACTTCAGATTGCAATGTCTTGGAGGCGGGTGTGGGTTCAAGAGCCCTAAACCCTAAACCCTCAACCCTCAACCCTAAAACCCTAAACCCTAAACCCTAAACCCTAAACCCTAAACCCTAAACCCTAAACCCTAAACCCTAAACCCTAAACCCTAAACCCTAAACCCTAAACCCTAGAACCCTCGAACCCTCGAACCCTCGAACCCTCGAACCCTAAACCCTACTAGATACCCCGACCCAATACTCCCAAACTTCATGGCGTGTGGGGTGGGGGGTGGTGGGGGAGGCGGTTGGTGAGTAGGCGGGTTCCAGAACCTAGACCTGAACCTTACAGAAACCCTAGCTGTTTAGTTTGTGTAGCTCAGTTGCTATCGTTACGACCACCTTCATTCTAGGTCTGGCTTCCTTTTTGCTTGTCTTGTCCTTTGCCCTAAACCTTGAACCCTGGACCTTAAACCCCAGATTCAGGCGTTCTCGGAGTTGTTGTGGGCCTGAGGGGAGCTCTGCTTTTAGCAGCAGTTGTGGGGGTTAATGATACCGGCCCAGGGCCCATCCAAGAGGGTTTAGAGGGTTTAGGGTTTGGGGTGGGTTAAGGGGTGTTTGGGTGTTCAGAATTAGAGTGCACAAGACTTCAAAGAGCTTTTGGCTTTGGGTGCCCGCCTTGAGTCTGTTGAGGTGTCAAAACCCTTCAAGGGGCATTGGCTGGATACCTTCTGCACAGACAGGCAGAAGTTCATCTGCAAGGCAGCTTCGCCACTAAGTGATGGGGGAGTCTAGATCAGTGTTAGGGATCCTTTTTACTTTTTTGGTTATGGGCTTTCTTATATATACAAAAAGGATCCTTTGTTCTTTCTAGGGGAACAGGAGGAGTGCAGAGGGGGGATGGGGGGGGAGGTTAAGCATCCCATGATTTGGGGTCGAGGAGAGTTACGGCTTTAGAGTTTTGGAGGATGCTTGCAGGTGATCTCGCGGGTCCTTAGGGTCTAGGGCAGCACAGGGTAGGGCCCAAACCCGAAACCCTGAACCCCGAGGGCATGTGGCCAATTCCCAAAATTCGGGTACCCCTAAGACACCCCCAAATACTATAATCCTGATTGTAAGAACCCCCCAAACAGGGCACTCCTTCTTTTCGGAAACCCCCATATGGCTTAGGGCAGCCTTTGTCTCCCAATCCCATTTCAAAGCCCTGAAACCTCAATGCCCTCGCAAGGTGGCATTCCTGTCAGCCTCGTCCCTTTGTCAAACCTGTGTCGCACTCGCGTTTTTTGAGCAGCCCTCTTTCCTTTCTAAGCCTCTACAAGACACCCCGGAAGCTTGAACCAAACAACCCCTAAACCCTAAACCCTAAACCCTAAACCCTAAACCCTAAACCCTAAACCCTAAACCCTAAACCCTAAACCCTAAACCCTAAACCCGCCTCGGGCAGGTGGATGACTCGGATGCCGCCCAGGAAGCCGTCTCTGCGGCATCGCAGGTGCTGGGGCTGAGGGGTTCAGGGGCCTCTAGTTGAGGGGTTTGAGGGTTTCATCCCTAAACCCTAAACCCTAAACCCTAAACCCTAAACCCTAAACCCTAAACCCTAAACCCTAAACCCTAAACCCTAAACCCTAAACCCTAAACTTATAAACCCTAAACCTAGCTTGAGAAGCCTGGAGGACTGGGAGGAGGTCCCGCGCAAGTCCGGCGCGCCGCTGCCTTCACCGCCGAGGCGAGGACTCCTTTTTCCCAGGATTTAGGGTTTAGGGTTTCGGGTTTAGGGTTTAGGGTTCAGGGTTCAGGGTTCAGGGTTCAGGGGGGGTTCAGGGTTCAGGGTGTAGGGTCTAGGGTTCTATGGTTCAGGGTTCTGGGGTGAATCTTGGGTTTAGGCAGGGCTTTGGTTGGGCTTGGGGATTTGTCGGGGTTGAGGGTTTAGAGGTTTCGTGGCCTTGAGGGTGGGGCCACAGGAGTTTCGAAGGGCAGCTTTGCCTGCATACAGCCATCCCCCAAAAATCCTAAACAAAACGTTACGCATGGCAATGAAAAAAGGCTACTGAATTCAGCCAAGTCGTCTGGAAATGTCCTCGAATCCCCACAGCTCTAATTTTTGTTGCGCTTCGTGGTGTCCGGCTTTCATTCTAGCATCCGAAGCCAAGCTGAAGGTGGGTTGGGCACAGGATTCTAGGGCACAACCCCTAAATACCCGAAGCCCTACATCCCAAAGCGGATCCCCGCTTTGGCTGGCTCTCCAACTTCCACCTTCTGCCCGCCTCGCGAGTGCAGCCAGGCCTGCTGTGGCCCAGTCCCTGTGTGGAGCCAAGTGCTGGTGAATTTAGAGGCGAAAAAATCCTAAACCCCTGTGTTTGGTAGTCACCGTTAATTCTGCCGAGGCTAGTGGAGAGTATGTACGTAAAGGATGTAACGCGTGTTAAGTGTTCTTTTGCGAAGGCCGCCCTTTGAGCAGAGCATCTTGCCTGCATCGAGGGGCCTGCCACTTAACTTAGGTCGCCGGCAGCGCCACCACTCCCAGTGCCGCCAGCGCCGCCACCCCAGCCGCAGCAAGTGCCGACGCCACCAGCGCGGAGCCGGACAGCAGCCGACCAAGCGACAGAAGAGGCGCCCTCACCGCCATCGCTGCCGCCATCACCGCCACCTCAGAAGCCTGTCAAGGCCGAGAGCCCGAGCCCGGACGTGGACCTCCCCCGTCCTTCGGAGACCGAGCCGCTTCAATCGGAAGGCCAGCAGGTATTTTGGCTGGGGGGAGCAGGGGCACGGGGGTGTAACTTAACTATACATGACTTTGGGAACTTGAACCATAAGCCAACCCCTTTAAAGCCAACCCCTCTGAAGGTGAGCTCGAGGAGAGTTTCCCGGATGAGATCTACCAGTAGTAGCCGTCCTCAGGCAAGTTCACGACGGACAGAACCTGGATGCTGAGACAGGGCCGGGCGGTGAAAGTGCTGAAGCCTGACGTCAGCGAGGCCGACGCGTGAAGAGTGACCAAGACTGCAGAACTGCAAGGAGCTCAAGAGCGAATCTGTAAGGGCTACAGCGCAGATGCACTGATGGCAGCTGCGACAGATCATGCTCTATGCCTGTGCGGACGCCTACGCTGGTCCGCTGTCCAAAGCCCGCTACGCGCAGTGTTACGCAAAGGTGGCTGCAGATCGCTATCCTGCAATCTGCCGCAGCCGTTTTGAGAGCATTGCCTCCAAGCATCTCCTGTCAAGAATGCAGTTGGGCTTGCCGCTCCGCAGCTTCCTCAGTGTTTACGACGACCAAAGCAAGCTTGCCCACCCCCGGCGCCCCACCCCCCCCGTCCCCCCGATGCAAAGCCCAAATCATCCCAGTCCCCCCAGCCCCAAATCCTAAGGCTCTGCATCCCGACGCCCTGCAAGAAACCTTATGAACCGATCTAATCGCAGAGGCATGAATGTTGCTTCGGCCTCGTGCAAGCGTACTCCCATGATCCCACATCTGTTGTGAGTGCCGGGGTTTGCTTCGCCTTCTGCTGCTCTCGTGGCTTCGGGAGCGCGGGACACCCTTAGGTTGAACCCTGAATTCCACACCTTCTGTTTCAGGCCAATGTCTGGGATTCAGGGAACTTTTCAGGGGTTGGATGGAAATCGCACCCTGGCTTCGCTGCAGCCCTTTGGCAACAACTGCGGCCCAAGACATGCGCCCTGTGCATCTGCACGCATGGTGCCTGATCTACAGGAGCACAGAAGCCTCAGATTACGCCCAAAGGCGATTCGCACCTAAAGCGCAGAACGCAAGCCCGGACCGCCCTGATCTCACACCTCCAGCCAGCCCAACCTCCCTACCATTTTCATCCTCCCAGAAGCCTGCGACCGTAAACTCAACCCGGCCCGAAACCCTGAACCCTAAACCCTAAACCTTTAAGCCCTCAGCCCTAAAACCTAAACCCGAAACCCGAAACCCCAAAACCCTTCACACCCTCAACCCCAAGAAACACAGACAGCTCCCCCAAGCGAAGCCCCTCAGCGCCATGGCTGTCTTCCGCCTGCTGCTGGGCCTGGGTGGGGCTGCGGCTCAGGTCACCTGGGGCCCGCAGCCCATGTACATGTCCGAAGCCTGGGCTTTGGGTTCGTTAGGTTTTTTTTGTGTTTAGGGTTTTTTGGGGCTTTTAGGGGCTTTTAGGGCTTTTAGGGCTTTTAGGGCTTTTGGGGCTTTTAAGGCAGGCTTTCAGGGCTTTGTTGGGCTTTTCGGGGGCTTTTTGTGGGGCTTTTCAGGGCTCCCGTTCGATATCCCAGCCGAGGACACGGACGACTTCAGCAACCAGCAAAGGCTCTATGAGCTCCTGAGGCAGGCCTACTTCACGGAAGCTCGGGCCCGCAGGGAGATCTCAGGGTTTAGGGGAGTTCTTAGGGGTTTTATGGGGGTTTAGAGGGATGATAGGGTTTAGAGGGGGTTATAGGGTCTATTAAGAGTTTATAGGGTTTTATAGGGTATATAGGGTTTATAGGGTTTATAGGGTTTATAGGGTTTTATGGGGGTTTAGAGGGATGATAGGGTTTAGAGGGTTTTATAGGGTCTATATAGGGTTTTATAGGGTTTTTATAGGGTTTTATAGGGCTTACTCCACCGAAGCTCGGGGCCCGCGGAGAGATTCAGGTAGGTAGGTAGGGGATTGTAGGGGGTTTAGGGGGGTTTAGGGTTCAGGGTTTGGGATTTAGGGTTTAGGGTTTAGGGTTTAGGGTTTATAGGGTTTAGGGTTTAGGGTTTAGGGTTTAGGGTTCTGGGTTCTAGGGTTCAGGGTTCAGGGTTTGGGATTTAGGGTCACGGTTTAGGGTTTGGGTTGAGCGTGAAAGCCCCAAAACCCCAAAGCCCCAAAACCTCGAAACCCAAACAAAACCCAAACAAAACCCAAACAAAAACCCAAACAAAATCCAAACAAAACCCAAACAAAACCCCAACAAAACCCAAACAAAACCCAACAAAACCCAAACAAAACCCAACAAGACCCCAAAACCCCAAACCCCCAAGACCCCAAGACCCCAAAACCCCAAAACCCTAAAACCCCCAAAACCCCAAAACCCCAAACCCCCAAAACCCCCAAACCCCAAAACCCCAAAACCCCAAAACCCCAAACCCCAAACCCCAAACCCCACAACTCCTCAGCGTTCGGGGGATATAGGTTAGACCTGTGAGCCCGGCGCAGGGTCTAGGTTTTGGTGGAGTGTAGGGTGCCTCTAACAGGTTTCCACCAGTGGGATAATGTTCTGAGGATTACACGGCGCAGCATCAGCAGCATCGCCTGGCTCCGGCGATGGCGGCCGAGCTGGCCGAATTTCAGCAGAAGGCCTGGGCACCCGAAGCCCCCAAACCCTGAACCCTAAGCACCCCGAGCCCTACACGATCAGTTCTTGGGAGGGCTGGGTGGGTGGGTGGGGCTTTCTTGGAGCTTCTTTAGGGCATAGGTTTGGACTTTAGGGGTTTAGGGCAAGCTTGTGTTGCCGTCGTTGCCGTGCCTTCAATCAATATTAGCTTTGCCAGAAGTCCGCCTCCGAATCGGCTAGGCCATAGGCTCGTAAAGCCCAAGCCCCTATTCACTGAAATCCTTGAAGCCCCAATGAGACCCCCTAAACCCTAAGCCCTAGACCCTAGCCCGTAGACCCTAGACCCTAAACCCTAAACCCCTAAGCCCTAAGCCCTAAACCCTGAATTGGGATCCGCACCGCCCGGGCAAAAGAGGCCATGACAGACCCAGCCCTGGCGCTGGCCGTGGCCATGGGGCAACTTGAAGCAAGGGTTTAGGGTTTAGGGTGTAGGGTTTAGGGTTTAGGGTTTAGGGTGTAGGGTTTAGGGTTAGGGAGCCCTAAACCCCCAACACCCCTAAGTACCCCCCTGAGCCCCTAAGCCCCAAACCCCCCACCCCTAAACCCTAAACCCTAAACCCTAAACCCTAAACCCTAAACCCCAAACCCGAAGCCCCCACTTGCAAACCCTCAGTTGTCGTCTCTCTCGCTAACTAAGGCTCAAGCCTGAACTGCCTGAATCCCTTGTTTAGGATTTACTGTTCAGGGTCCCTAAACCCCAAACCCTAAACCCCAAACCCTAAACCCTAAACCCTAAACCCCAAACCCTAAACCCCAAACCCTAAACCCCAAACCCCAAACCCTAAACCCCAAACCCTAAACCCCAAACCCTAAACCCCAAACCCTAAACCCCAAACCCTAAACCCTAAAAGCATGTGGCCGTACATCTTCTGTTGGAGTCCTCAGTCAAGTTGGCCCAGCAGAAGCCCAGGTGATGAGTTTTGAGGCTTCGGGTCTAGAGCTTGCGGGGTTTAGGGCTTAGGGTTTAGGGTTTCTGGTTTCAACCCCAACGCCCTAACCCGCCAGTGGGGTGCGTCATCGGATCCCAGCAGCCTGCCGAGGAAGTACCACTTTGCGTGGTATCGCGATGGGGCCAAGGACGCTTACGGTGTGTTAAAGGTTTAGGGCGGTTTAGGGGATGTTTTGAGGTGCCCACCTTCATGATTCCTGAAGAAACAACTTCCATATTTCACAGCTGCCCTGGGGTTTAGGGTTTAGGGTTTAGGGTTTAGGGTTTAGGGTTTAGGGTTTAGGGTTTAGGGTTTAGGGTTCCTAAACTCTAGACAAGTGCAGCCCTAAGCCCCAAACCGTAAACCCGGGTTCTCGCGGGGCCAGGAGATGGATGTTGACAGCATTCGAGAGGCCGCGGAGCTCATGGCGCTCAGCATTCAGCACCGGGCTTAGGGGTGTAGGGTTTAGGGTTTAGGGTTTACAGGGTGTGGGGTTAGGGTTTTTAATAGGTTGAATTAGGGTTTAGGGTGAAGGGTGTAGGGTTTAGGGTTTAGGGTTTGGGGTTGGATAGTGTCTGTGGTCTTCGCGTTGAGCTTTAACGAGGCGCCGGCTTGAAACTGCATAATTAGCATTTTGAAAGGTTAGTCTTGGGACCCCCCGATGATTGTGCTATGTTTGCGGTTCAGTGCTCGGCGGACGAAGCTTAAGAGTTGTTGGCAACTCCTGCTCTGGGCGTTAGAGCTCCAGGCGTGTTTAGAGCTTAGGCCTCTTAGGGTTGTAGGGTTTCTTACTACAGTGAAGCCAACATCGCCCGACTGCGCACTTTCGAGGTTTAGTCAATGCGATCGACCTGACCTATCCATCGAGATCTTCTTTCAACGCATGTGCCCCTCGGCTGGCACTGCCTGCCTATATGCAGACGGCGGCCGATGAAACTATGTTCTCCCCCACAGCCCGAACCCTAAACCCTTAGGCTCTTCAAAGCTTGTGACATATGAGCCCAAGTGCACTTCCGAACACATCGATGCGTTTTCGTGTCATGACACGCTTGTACGGGTCTAGTCAAGCCCCAGCTAAAGCTCCGTGCTATAACCCTTTCCCCACATCGCCCAACCCCTATAACTCCGACATGACAGCTAGAATCCCGACACTAACCCTAAACCCTAAACCCTAAACCCTAAACCCTAAACCCTAAACCCTAAACCCTAAACCCTAAACCCTAAACCCTAAACCCTAAAACCCCTACGCCCCAGGCCATGCACGCTGGCCCTACGCCATCCTCCTGTTCAGCGAGCTCGGCCGGGAGTTTGCCTCCAGGCCCAGCCCTGCCAAGCCCGAGCTTCGGTTTAGGGTTTAGGGTTTAGGGTTTAGGGTTTAGGGTTTAGGGTTTAGGGTTTAGGGTTTAGGGTTCAGGGTTTCGGGGTAGCTAGGACCCGCAGTAGGCCCG